AAGTCAAAAATGACCATGTTGAAAGCCAGGAGACAGTCCCTAGGATACCACCCACTATGCTGACGCACTGCAAACTTTGATAATGAAGCTGAGACTTGAAGACCAGAGAGGGAAACTCAGACTTTAAAGTGAGATCTTTGATTCCTGAGAAGCAGGGCCATCTTCATGGACCTGTGACCTGGGCAGTGACGCAGGACCCCATGTTCAGAAAGGACCCACACCTGGTTTAATGCTCCATCTCCATCTTGAGAATCTTAATAATTTTAACTTTGAACTTGTGAAATGAGGTCTGATTGGACAGTGGAGCCCTCGTGTGAGCAGAGGAGAGCCACGTGATATGCACTGCCAGGATTTCACATAGTGTTTGCAATGCCCTGTGAGCACAGAATACCCGTGAACTCAACACACATCGGAGCTCAGCAAGACTCAAAGCAAATGCAAGGTAACTGTGTCACAAATACAACCGAGTAAGCAGGTAGGTGGGTGCTCACAGCTCCAAGAACCTATGCCTTCCATTTGAACCAGAACTTGCTTTGCACATAAAAAGGTCTTTCTAAGAAACACTAATGACCAAGGAACCCTATCATATCCTCTCTTACTCATGTCACTTCCCTGTATTAGCTAACCACTTATGTTAAAAATGACACCATAGGAGGAAAAAGACAGTATAACTCAGTATAACTACAGTTTCTTTTCCTTTCAGAACTTCCTTACCCATCTGTAAGTCAACGGTATGGTGTTGATACAATGTGTGCATGTCAAGAAGGGAAATAGAAGTAGTTAAGTTAGTTTTGTGCAACGTGTCTACTGTTTTAGTATAAACAATATACATATATGCATGTACAAAATACAAATGGTGGGATTTCAGCAATTCTGCATACAAGCTCTATGCTCTTATATTTGCATTTAAAACCAGCATTGCACAAAACAAAAATGAACAGTAAAATGCATGCCAATAATTGCCATTTTAATTTTTAAAATTTAATTTCTACATTTAATTCATGCTATAATTTTAATTTTCTTCACTTAGAATAACATCAATTTGCAAATAAACACAAGTCAAGAGAGAAAGATGGCAGAAGAAAGGAAAGCACTTTATCTTTTAGTACCTTTAACAGCACTTTTTGCTGCTTTTTGAACAAGCAGTCACAGATTTTCATTTTGCACTGGGCTCCTCAAATTATGTAGCTGGTCCTGCTGAGAACCGCTGACTTCAAGAATATTACGCCTATCTAAATATCTACACAGATTTGGACAAGCCTTCACTGACACCTTTCAAAGCAACCCCCAAAAGACCCACGAATGGACTGATAAGGTAGTGATTTTTTAGTACCACACTCTTAATTACTGCATTTCTTCCATCCCAATATCATTACCACAACGAACCGGCCGAAATACCACAACCCAATGTCTTTGCAACTAAAGATCTTTCTAGAAATAATTAAAGTGAAGACTAAAGACGACCTTTCAGGTGCAGCATTTAATCCCAGGCCTCCCTGCTGGACAACTCCTTTCCATGGAATATTTCCTGCTGCCTTGGTGGTTCTGTTTTAACCAAACCCTGGCTGTGGCTCCAGAACCAGGCTATTCTCACTGCTCACAGTGCTCAGGTTTCCCCAGGAAGTTGGTCTGTGAACCATTAAGTCCGGTTGCCTAAAAATTCCTCCTTCAAATACAGTCAAGTTTTCCTCTGTCTAATTTCATTCTCCTGGTTTTGTTGTGTTTTTGATTTTTTTGTTTTTTTTTTGTACCACTACTTTCCACGTCAGTAAATTAACTTCCTGCCTGGAGACACATCCTGGCAAATGTGTCAGTTTGTATTGTTTAGATGAGAGACTTCTGTCATTCAAATTTCTCCTGCATAATAATCCCCAAAGCCAGCCTCTCAGGAGCCTGAGTCGACTGTCTATGCATTTCCTTTCACTGCTTGCTGCTCTGCACAAAAATGCAGACCGCCTGCAGTGAACTCACTCAACTCTCACCCCGTCAGATCACATCTTTCCATTTCCCCCTCCTTTCTTCCATCCCACCTGAGGAAGTGTTCTCACAGAATTCAAGGCTAACCCACCACCTTCCCCCGAATTTTGAGTCTATCCCTGTCCTTCTCCCCTACGCCTTGCACTCACACTCCTTCCTGCCCTTCGATTTCTAACAAAATCCCCTCCACCTGCACCCTCCTCAAACCCAAGCTACCTACCATGTTTCTCTTGGGTCAATTCCTTGCAAGGATGAACTCACTGGGCCACCTGCTGCTCATCCCCTCCCAGAGAGTCTTCAATTTTTTGCACTGTAGATTCCATCTCGGCTGTGCTACTAACACTGCTCTCTCCAAGCTCATGAACTGACCTGGCAGCTGGACCAGGGGCTGCCTCTCACACCCACCCTTGGGATGAGAGGCTGCACAGGATGGCAGGGACAGTCCACTCATGTCAGGTGTGCTTCTTCCCTTGGCCACATTTCTCCTCCACTTCTCTGGCGGTTCCTTCTCTATCTCTTTTAATAACTTCTTCTGTCTGATGATTTCTAAATGTGGAGAGTTCCCTAAAGACTGCGTGCTTGCTTCTCTTCTTATTCTACATGTTTTTGTTTGGAAAGTTCCTCTATGCTCACTCTATGTAACTGCCCTATGGAGATGATCCAGAAATCTAGGATTTTGCCTAAACTCTAAGCCTAAATTTCTAAATTCTTGCCAAACATATTTATGTGGATAATATTGACTAACAGTTCTTAATGGCTTTTAATGTGCTAAGTACAGAATCGGGGGCAGGACAGAGGCAGGACTATGAAGTGGTTGAAGATACTGGCCCCAGAGCTGTACCTGCCTGAGTTTAAATCCCGAGTCCAACACGCACAATCTGCATAACCTTAGGAAACCTGATTAGCTTCTCTGTGCCTTAGAATCCTCATCTGTAATATGGGAATAATCTAAGTTAAAATATGGAAGGCACTTAGAATAGCACTTGATACATAACCAGTGCTATTACCTATTATTGTCATTGTTTTATTCTCCTAGAAACCGGATGAGACAGGTGCTATTATTTTATCCATTTACACAATAAGAAAACTAAGTAGGTTGTCATGGGTCATGAGGGAATCTCAAATGTTCTGCAGATGTTCAAATCTTAACTCATATTTCCCATTAAAATTCAACTATCACGTAGCCAGGCAAGGTGGTGTGAACTAAAATAAAATTTTAAGGCTCACCCCGCCCCCCACTGGCTGACTGAATGGACTCCCTCCTGACCAAAGGAATATCCTAAAACTAAATTGCCTGCCAGGAGGAAGGAGGTCAGACATGCCTCATCATGTCCCCCTCCCTTCTTGGGGACATCCTTTGTAACCCATTAACAGGCCTAAGGGTATGCAAGACAAACCTGCAGGTCCTCAATTT